CGAACCCAAGACCTTCTGGTTACGAGGCGAGATCGTAGACCATTGAGCCACTGGGACCCCATCCAATGGCCCTCCATGAATTCTCACTTCTGCCAATTTAATTTTCCTGTTGACACTGATTGATTGGTTGGACTGAAATGTTCGACGCCTAGTGTGCTCTGTGAACACTTCAACGATCCTCGAGGACTGAACACATTTCAGTCCAATAAATAATCATCGGGGAAAAACAAAAACTGACTTCCACCAATAATAATAATACGAGTAACTGATATATCCTTTGCACAAGAAAGGTGTGACTCCAGTGGTCTAGTGTGGCATAAGGCTTTGGCGTTTAATGAAATGGTGGTAGGTACATGGTTTTGAGCCTTAGTGGACGGATACCATCACCCCAATAACTAGGGAATACAGGTACATCCAGCTGATGACAAGTCCCAGATAGGACGAAATGCGCGTCCTGGATTCCACTCACTGCTAGTCCACTGCTGTCCACCAAGTTGGTTTCAAGTTAATGTGCGTCGGTGGTGGCACAGTGGTTACGACTTTCGCCGACCAATCGCGCATGGTCCGGAGTTTTGATTCCCAGGCGACGCACACTTGATATATCAATGGTTTGGTCTGCTAAATTTGGGGCTACCGATATCATCACATGCTGAAAATTCCATAACTGTACTAAAATATTGTTTGGAGTTAAGCTATAATACAATAAAATAAATAAATAAATATTACTTACTTCTTGTGTTATCTGGGACCTGTTCATCAAGCATGAAATGTAATCACTAAGTTAAGCGACACACGACTTTGTTGCTCTCTTTCTCTCTATCGCTCTGTCTGTCTCTGATCTGTACCTTGATGATTTGGGTAAGAAGTTTTATGACTCAGATTTCATGCTTTCTCATCCATAAGTTTAAATCCCTACTGGAAAACATGATTTTCACCGAGACGAACACTAAATTTATATTCCATGGGACTGGACTACACCGACTCCTAGGTTAGAAATAGGAAGTGAAGTGGTAGAGCACGTTGGCCGCTTCACTTATTTGGGAAGAACCATCAGCCAATGCCAACAGGTTGATCTCTGACGAAATCTCAGCTGAGTACGGATACAGAGGGCTACTTTCGTATATACCAGTTTACGCCGTCTCTGACTTAGTAGACGTGATATCCGGCTGGATGGCTATCGACCAAAGGGCGGGTGTACTGCACTGCAGAAGTCCGTTCCGTCCTCCTTTATGGCTGGCTGAGACCTGGTCATTGAGAGTGGAAGACATAAAAAGGCCGACTAGCTGTCTTTAATCATAGGTGCCTGAGTTCTATTTCCCGTGTGAAGTGGTATAATAAGGTGAGCAATATTGAAGTTAGGCGTCGAGTTCTAGGTAAGCAGAGGAAATCAATCGACATTTAGCAATGTTAACTGATATAGGGTCAGGCTGGAAAAGAGTTAGCCAGCGGTGGTCAAACCAAAACATTGCTCCACCAGTCAATGAAATCCACAACAGTTATTTTAAGCCAGCTAGTGACGTAGGAAGTTTAGACTTCCTGACTGGCTGGTTGGAGTCCTTGGGATGGTAAAAACCAGTGGCTGGAGAAAATTGGTGACATGGCTCAAAATCGTTCTCAATGGCTGGTGCAGATGCATCCACTCCTTGTGACTTATGATTTCCAATGAAACTATGTTGTTCTTCGTTATTACTATTCCTTTGTCTCACACTGCTTACTATCTCTATTATGCATTTCTTCTACTTTCTTCTCTTACTTTGTGTGCTACATGGGGGGAGTGTGGTGACTTAAAGTGCCGCACATATGTGCAAAGTTGTATTTTGAAAACAGAAAGACAGACAGATATTCCATGGCTTCCCGTTTGTTTTTTGTTTTTTTGCTTTCTTATATGGAACAGCCGCACATCAGGGTTTTGTATACTTGAGTCAGGGGTTCTCACCCTGCTCCACTTACTACTACTGAGGTTTAGAAAGCCACACACACAACACACAAATATAGATGTGACTTATTTTATTGCCAACCATGCATTGGAATTACTATGTTGAATAACTTTCTTTTTTCAGATAATTTTGTCTAAATTTCATGGAGAAGATTTCCAGATGTGTGTGTTAAGTGGATAATATCAGTGTGGGTTATATTCACTAACCTCGTCTGGTTTAGTCGCGAAGCTTTCCTTGTCTTTCAGGTCGATGAAGAAAGTCAATGCTGAATACAGCAGAGGGGGTGAGAAAATGTCCAGAAACAACCAATCTCATTGTCATGCGGTTACCTAGAGCAATCAATTGCTTTTAAACATGTGCGAAAGATTCGAAAAGCTCACTTCAAACTGAAGTTCATGCTGTTGTGTGAAAAGAGACCACGAAAGCTTCTCAACTATAAGTCATCCAGCTCAGAGAAGTCTAACCATGAACTGTGACTTCAAAGAGTTAGAGAACGATTGAAAACGACGGCTGTTTTCTCCCCTAAAGTGTCGGCCTCTTCAGCATTAATCGCATTTGATCCCAATTATCAGGGATCAACCCCCTCCCCGCAGGACCTACTCTTACTGGTCACGATTACAAAGATATCGATCTTTGTTGAGCAATATTCAATCACTGGGATGGAATCTTTATTGACAGACTCATGAATTTTGACTTCTATCAGTTTGCAAAATATAACGCGACTGTTAGCTAATGTTATCAGCGAGTGTTTATCCTCACACCCACCCCCCGCCTAACTGACGGACTGAAGGTCAGCAGTTCAAGTTGCTCAACTCAATGTATAATAATAATAATTTGCTTCATTCCAAAACAGTACTTATGATACAGAATGGAATTCTCAGGATTTTACTACAATATTGCATCCATTTAGTACATTAACAATACATAAAATTCCACATAGATTAAGCGTAATCTCAGTTCATTATGACAACAGCATATTGGCATGTCGGTAGCAAAGCCAAAATTTGATCAGAGTGTTTGAAGGTGTTAGAAGAGTAGATACTAGCATATTTACTGGCGTAAGCGGCAACAAAAGGTCGAGATATACAGAGGGTGAGAGTACAAACAATGTTCTAATAGAGTTACTAAGAAAGACAGAAACAAAGAAGCACATAACAGAGAAAAAAGAGAGAGAAAAGGAAAAGAAAGAAAGAAAACGTTGTAACTATGAAAGATATGAATTGGAAAGACAAGATCCGATTTTTTTATTGACTATTTAATAAGTTATAGGTATCACACCTAATGCTTTCTTTATCACACAGAACACGAGCTAGCCAAGTAGGGTATGGTTGAGTTTTTCTACTTCCTAGTGTGAGCATACAGTTTTCTATATAGGTTTGTGGTTCTGCCTGACGAGATACAAGAAGGGAGAGTTGTGAATGAAGAGGTTGGTGTGAGTTAGATAGATAGAATGGATTTAGCCCATTTTTTTTCACATGAGTCCATGTGCCTGTCAACCAGAATATTAACAAGCTGGTTGATTAAGTGGCACGTTGCTTACCCTGCTGACAACCTTTAACATCCTGCGTAATAAGGTATAGTCTTTCTTCAGTAACCCAGGAAAAACTAAAGGGGAACAATAGAGAATAATAGGCAGGATGGAAGAGTTAAGGAATCGTAGGAGTAAGGGTTGGGTCATTCCAGAATATCTTAACTTCTTAATGTAGAAGGTAAGATGGAATATTTTCTTGAAAAAATCATCAAGATATGAGACGACCAAGAAAGATCAGCAGATAGAATGACTCCAAGATGTTTAATTTTCGGCTTGGTTTCTATTTCAGTGCCATGTATGTTGCACACCTTGTGAGTGCTAACCAGTTTGTTTAGGTCAGACTTATGCCTGAAGGTGAAATCAACTGTTTGGCATATGGAGGGGTTCAAGGTTAGACCTTTTTCCTTGGACCACTGGTTGATTTAGTTTAGAGCAGTCACTTTGACATTTGACAGGCAAAAATTACAGTCAGGTCGTCAGCATATTTGACAAAATTAATGCCATTTGAAGATGGTAAGTGATATGTAGAAAGAAAGAAAAGAGAAGTGGGGAGGGTTACTGCACCTTGGTGAACACCAGCTTCAGTGAGCACAGCAGAGGAGGATAGAGAATATAGAGAGAAAAGGTACACAAGAATTCGTGTAAAATGGTGAGAGATCCCGAAGAGAGGGAATGGATCTGTGCTGTTAAAATCTGTTTTAAGCTCCCTGTATCATCAATAGTGTTCTCAGATAGCCATCTTTAACATCCTATCCCAGTGAAAATTGTCTACACACCTGCCTACATGATTGGAACTAACTATCATGCTCTGGTTTGACCACTCCCTCTAAGCGTGTTTTTTTTTCTGTGTCAGCTAACATTCCTCGTCGGTGTGGTTCTCAGACACACACACTTCACGACTTTTGAGTAAGGACTTCAGGTAACTCAGTTCTGTAGTTAGTCACAAATGAACATTAGGTTGGTTACAGGATTTCATCATGAGTTGAGACATCAGTTAGAGAACCATTGGAAAACCAGTTGGGAGTACTGGACAGCTGGCTGTTTTGTCAGCGTAGTTTGGGACTCCGCTTCATGAGTACGCATCTACACTGCAGGGTTCGAAGCCAGGACCTTCTGGCCAACGCATGAATTCTAACTTCTGCCAATTCACGATATAGCACAAGCGCTAGCGAGTGTCTTCAGCACCCCGGTGGATGCGTAGTGCTGAAGAGTCCCAAACTGGGCTGACGAAACAGCTGGATGTCCAGTACTCCCAGCTGGTTTTCCAATGGTTCTCTAACCAATGTCAACTCATGATGAAATCCTGTAACCAATTAACCAAATCTCTACAAAACAATACTTGAACATTAGATTGATTTCAAGTTTGATCCTGAACTCTGGCTTCAGTTAGAGAACTAACTACTGAAAACCAGTTGGTAATACTGGATGTATGTTTCAGTCCCTATTCAACACTCTTCAGTAGTACACATTTAAATTTTCTCTTAACTATTCTAAAGTGTTGTTTTCCATTTTCTCTTCCTCATTTTTGCTAGGTCCATCAAGTCAAGTTGCTCAACACTTTTATCGTAGCCTTGTCAATGGATCTGTTTGCGGTTCACCATTTTCATCATCAATGACTTGTGGCGGCGGCGGCAGTTCTACTCCCTCCTCAGGTTTCAATTTCTTTCATACAAATAACAATAACAACAGTAGTATTGATGCGTTTAACACCACCACCAACAACAACAACATCTCAGGCGGACATATTTTAACACCTTTTAATGGTTTCAATTCATGTTCCAGTGTTCATCACTTTCGTAATTTAAGCTTTACCCCGTTGTCAATTGATGCAGATATTACACCATTGACGTCTTCGATTACGACGCCACCGACTACTATTACCACGAATTGTACATCATCATCATCATCATCGCCACCGCCGCCGCCCCCATTACAAGCACCACCACTACCCCCTTCATCATTATTTTTCTCTTCATTCCCCACCCCATTATCCTTAGCATTAACAACAGCCAGTAATCATGATACAATTGCTGTATCGGCAATAGATACCAATACTACTACTACTAATAATAATAATAACAATAATTGTGTTATAATGCCATCAAAATCGTGTTATACATTAGAAATGAATCGAGCGAAATAATAATGATGACTTCAGATCAGAAAAATGTTTCTTTCTTTCTTTGTGTCTTATTTTCTCATGCCATCTCCACACACACACACACACACACGGAACCCACCCCTCGCTTCCCGTTGATTCTTTTTGTTCCTGTACACAATACCAATGATGACTACACTTCGACTACATTTGCATTATTTTCTACTACAATCTCTTGTCTTTGACACTCAGAGTAACACAGACACCCACTCATACACACACACACTACACTACTTGTTGTCACTTTGAATTTTACTGAAATCTTCCTGTGAAGAAGAAGAAAAATACAATAAACAACAACAAACATTTTTGTTTACAAATCTATGTTTACCATACTTGTTTATTTATTTATTTGGTTTATATTCGTAAAGACAGACAAATATGACGAAGTGTCTATTGCATTTCTACGATAACATCGTCACTCTCTCTCTCTCTCTCTGTGACTTTCTTCCTCTCCCCATCCTTACCTTCTGTCTTGTATTTCTTTTTCCTTTGGTTTCGTGTGTGTGTGTGTGTGTGTGCGTGCGCAATTACATTCACACACACGCACGCATAAACTATGTGATTTGCGCGTTTGGTGTGAGATCATCAAATCCTGTCGTCATCATCATCATCCGGGTCCCGATCATTCCTAATCTTCTCCTCTCCTTTTTTTATGTATGTTCTCTTGTGTTCCACTTTTTTTCTCTCTCTCTCTCTCATTTTTAGGCACTTTCCGCATTCATGATGGATTTCTTCTTCTGTTTGCTGGCCGTCTACTACGTATCGTGGTACTGCATGTTGTTGGTGGTGGTTGTGATCGTGGTCGTTAACAGTCGGTGTGGTTTATCCGTGTATGTGTATGTGTGCGTGTATATTTCTGTGTTTGGCTTTCTCATTTCGACGACAGACACACCTTTCTTTTCATTTATGTGTGTATGAGTGTGGGCGGGTTAGGGGAATTTAGAGTCAGAGTTACTCCCTTCCACTTGGTGCTTATCTCCTCTTCTCTGAGGAGTAGTAGTGTGGTATAAATTTAACAAACAATGAATAGTTTATCTTTTCTCTCTATTTTCTTTTATTTCTTTCTTTTGAATTTTTAAATTAGGCACTATTTACTGTACATTTATTTTGGTTGTATGATATAACCCTACATCCAGGCGATAACCTGCCACTCGCCCCTCCCCCGCCGTCAAGCCAGTCAACTTTCACTTACTCACTTGGTCTTTTATGATTCAGTGTATTGTGAATTAGTTAATTCATGCCATGTGCAATGTAAAAATAATCAATAATCTGTGGATGAATGATTCCCGTTTAGGATTTTCCTCTCTCTATACATATATATACAAATCCCTGTGTATGTATGTGAGTGTAGATGCGTACATCCCGGTTGTGTGCGTGTGTATGTGTGTGTGTTTAATTGGATTGAACTTTTGTTCCATTTTTTGCCTTCCGCGTCCATCTATCATGTTGTTGTTATTGTATTACGTAATAATGACAATAATAATAATAGTAATAATAATTTGCGTGGGTGTACAGAAGTATGCTATATACCCCGGTTATCATTATTATTATTTATCTTCTCAAAAAGCAAAAGAAACAAACAATTGATCCTGTGCTATCATCATTCTTATTGTCGTCATTATCTCTCCCTAACTCCCCCTCTCCATCACCCGCGCCCTGCCAACTCACCGCTTTTTCAACTCAATATATCTAATATCAGCGCCAAAACAGACAGATCAATAAATAGATGAATTTATTTCTTCATATTGTTCTCATTTTGTGTATCCCTTTATTATATCCATGTATGTATGTATACTCATGTGTTTGTCGGTGTCGGCGGTATGCTTTCATCGCTATACTTTCATCATTTGATTTTCTGCCCATCCCACCCCTTCGCTGCCATCGTGCCTCTTTCCCCTCCTCCTACTCCTTCCAGCCCCGTCTTGAATCACTTTTGTCACTGGTAGCCATTATTACTATACTTATGTCTTGTGTGTGTGTGTGTGTGTTAGTTACTACTCTGTCAATGTAAAAAGGGAGCTCCTTCTCCTGTCTCGCCCTCCCTCTCTCTGTGTATTTTGGGCCCTTCCCTTCTTTATTGTCAACCATCATATTTTTGTTACAATTTTATTTATCAGGGGGTTAATAATTTGATGAAATGTAAAGTGTGTGTGTGCGTGTGTCAAGCTTTGATTTAATTAAAATTATTCTAAAAATAATCATGGACAATACATACTACTTAAATCATTTGTAAATGTATATTATCCCATTCTCATTAATAGATTTATTCAATGTTACACTGTAACTAACTCCTGATGATGTATACAGTACAATGTGTGTGTGTGTCGGGGGTGGGTGGGTGTTTGTTTGGCTGTTAACGGTTGGACAGAGGGGGTGTACACACTACTCATTACTCATTTATATATTACATACTAATCTATTTACTCCTATAGGCATCTTTTCCCCCCTTTTTTGTGATTTTATTCTGTGTGTGTGCGTGCGTGCGGACGTACGTGTGTTTCTACTGGAGCTTATATTATACAGATGTATTAGGAATTTAACTGTAAGTGAGTGAGTGAGTGTAAATCGCTTCATATTTTTATGCTCTGCGTTTATATTTCAAATGCCTTCTTCAAGTGAATGTACACTAACTACTAATTGCTACTTTTATTCTTCTTGTTACTATTACTATTACTAACTATTATTATTATTATTATTAGCATCATCATCACCTTTTGTTACCATGGTGATCATCGAGGTGCAAATCATCAAAGGAAGAAAAATTTGCTGTACACAAAGTTTTACTCCTTTTTTTCACGTTCTCTTTCTTACATCATATATACATACATCAAATATACATACTGGTCCTCCTTCCAACAATCGGTCGAACACGTCTCTGACAGGTGTGTGTGTGTGTGGGCGTCTGTCTGTCTCTCTCCCTCCCCCTCGTCGTTTTCACTTGCCTTTTCATCCTTTCCGAAAACTTGTCAACCTCATGCTTTTATCATGATTACCATTTATGCACATACTTACAAACACACACTCTGTGTTTCTCTTGTATTTTAATCCCAGTGATTATGATCCTGATAATGAGATCCCGATCATGTTGATGACGTCACATACACAAGAGCATAGAGTTTATCTCCTTTCATTGATTCTATCTTTCTACATTAATTACATATACATATTTGTTCCTTTGTTCGTTCGTTATTTATTTTGTTTTTGGCGGGGTTGTTCTAATATTTATATATATACGTGTTTAGCTTTGTTTCTGTTCCTTCATTTCGCCGAAATATTCAATATGCCTCCAATATTTTTTGTTTTCTATTTGTTTAATTATTATTATCGTTATTCGCGTTGTGGTTTTATTTCAACAATTATTTCTTTCGTTGAACACTTTGTTGTTGGGGATGCCTTGAGAAAGAAAGAAGATTCTTTGGATGTATAAATGATAGATGGATGGATGGATAGAAAGACACTTAGAGAGAGAGGAAAGGAGGAGTGTGTGTTCCTGTGAAATATCTATGGTTATTACATTTATACATATACATACTTATATGCCTACATTTATACATATATATACATATTATATAATATATATATTCAAGATGATGACATTTTCCAAAATAAAATGTATACTTCTATATATATATTTTTTATTGTTCCCTTGAGTTCCTAGTAGAACATAGGGCTTCAACTGTACGTCTCCACTTGCCACTTCTGTCTTCCTTCTGCTGTACTTTTCACCTGCACCATCCATGTTAGTTAGTCCATACTCTTTCAACTCCTCCTCCCTTTCACACGATCTCCTCCTCCATGTCACTCACCCTTGCACTGACGTCCCACTGGCCATTTACCTTTCGGCCTGGTTCCACTCGAGAAATGGCTTGACGCGCGCGCGATGTCACCCAGTGGCCTCTTCAGCGAGTAGTGTCCAATTAACTCTTCTGTCCACTTTCTCCTGCATATTTGTTGGTTGGCGATTGATTGGTTCTTGTTTTGTTTGTTTGTTCCCATAGTCGGTGATGATTCTTTCCGGCCCAACCCGGCCATCTGATTGATCTTCAGTATAGATCCAGCGAAGACAATTGTTGGTTGATGAAGGTGTGTAACAAGGCTATTGGAAATATTCTTTGTGACCCGCCCGCCAAGTTTCCGTCTGATCCGTATAGAAGAACTTACTGACTTGACGTTGTTTGTATTGAATTGAATCCGACGGAATCTTGTTGTTGATTCTGGCTGATTGACGAAGATTGGTTTCGGGTTGATGATGAATGTGTTTCTCGCTCGATTTGACATCCTCGTTTGTTCCGACTTCCTGTAGTTGAGACCAATGTTCCCTAGCTAGATAAGTTAATGAAGTAACATCTTTCAAATCCCTCCCGTTGATGGGGATTAGCGTTGGATGTTGCTGCTGTATACTTCTATATATACATATTATAATTATTGTTCCTTTGGAGGCGAGGGGTTCCGAGTGGAGCATAATTTCGGCTACCGATATCCATGCTGAAAATTTCATACTTGTACTAAAAATACAGTGTGGACTCAAGTTGTAATCAGAAAATAAATAGGGCAGCTTCATCAACACATATCCAATTAGTTACAGGATTTCATCATAAGCTGACATTGGTTAGAGAATCCCATCGGAAAACCAACGTGGGATTACTGGACATCCAGCTGTTTCATCAGCCTAGTTTGGGACTCCGTTTCATCGGCGGGTTTCGGACCCAGGACCCTTTTGGTTACAAGACTAGCGAGCTAGCTTGTAGACCATTAAGCCACTGGGGCCTGCCAATCCAATGGCCAGTCAGTCCATGAATTCTAACTTCTGCCAATTCACGACATAGCGCGACCATTTCTTCAACTGATGTCAGCTCATGATAAAATCCTCCATGCAATCAAACAAAAAATCCCTACAAAAAACAAATACTTGAAAATTAATTAATCTGATGCTCACTAGCTAGCGACTGGCCCTATTCAGGCAGTTCACCTGGGGCTCTAGT